GGGGGGGGGGGGGGTCACATTATATAATACCTTCATTGCACTATAATGTATCCACTATTTGTTCTGTATATTTTGTTTGTATATTCAGTTGTAATGTTTTAAATTTAATACTAGCAGTGCATCATATGTTTATGTATATATTTAGTATATGATGAATTTTAAAATTTAGTGAGAACTAGACATGTATTCAGATGGATATATTTGATCAAATATATGTTTAATTATGTGTACATTCACACTATAATGTATACAAAATTCATTTTATACATTTTCCTTGTGTATTAAGTTATTATGATCAAACTTATTATTATACGTTCAATATATGTTTATGTACATTAGTATATAATCCTGTTATATATATATATAAATATACTAAAATAACTATTGATTAAAAAGATGGGAATTTGTGCGCGTTCAATGGAGAGATTTGCGAACAAATGAAGGATATTACTATATAAGAAGAGTGAATAAAATTCACTCTTCTTTCGACACGTGGCACCAAGATGGCCCACCTACTTTTATATTTGGTTTTTGAAGATGGCCCACCTATCACAAAGATGGCCCACCCTTTCATTATATTTTAATTTTTTCCTTTTTAAATAGTACTAAAAAATAAATTTAAAATATTACAAATTCGATTAACTCTCAAAATTTTACGCGAATTCTATAATTAAGACGAAGGGAATAACATATATTATTTGAAAAATTACATTAAGAATACCATAAACCACAATAGTTAACAACTTACAATATTTGAAAAACATATTAACTCTCAAAATTTCACATGTGTCACATAAATTGGGACAAATGGAGTAACATATATTATTTGAAATTACGTTAAGAATATTATTAATCACAACTTAAAGTATTTAAAAATACATAACATATATTATTTGAAAATAATGTAAAAAATATTATAAATCATAATAATTAACAATTTAACGGATATTGTGCCCGTGCTTCCATTTAGAAGTGAGAATGTTTAGGAGCTTAGGGTTAGTCAGTCAATTGACCGATTTGCCCTTCTTCTTCAACTTCCTCTATTTACTACAAAAATAGTACTAAAAATCAATTTAAAATATTAAAATTTTGGTTAATTCTTGAAATTTCACATGTATTGCATAATATAATAGAGTAGTAACATATATTATTTGAAAATTATATAAATAGTACTAAAATATAGTTTAAAATAGTACTAAGAATTTGATTAACTCTCGAAATTTCATATGTACTGCGTAATTGAGATTGAGTGAGAAATATATATTATTTGAAAAATAGAATAAATATGTGATATTATTAGAAAGAGCTTTAATATATATTTTAAAAATTATTTTGTCTTCCGTCTATGATTTTCTGCATATATGTGGAGTTTTAAAGTTTTTAACATTTTAATATAGAAATATGATTATTTGAAAATTTTAGTACTTTCTTCATTTAAATTTTTCCTTGTTTTTCTTTTAATTTGTTCTAGATTTAAAAATTACATAAAAAGTACTTAAAATCACAATGTAATAATATAAGATATTAAAAAAACATAATTAAAAATCATAAAAGAAATTTTATTGACTCTTTAATTCCATATTGAAACAAAAGAAGTTTGTTTGAAAATAACATAAAAAGTAACGTAAATTAAAGTAAAATAACAACTAAAAATATTTAAGAATCATATAAGAAATTTAGTTGAGTTTCGTAAAAGTACCTACGTCACATAAAATGGAACAGAAGAGTAATATATATTATTTGAAAATGATATAAGAAGTGCTATAAATCACAATAAATTAACAACTTCAAAATATATTTAACAAAATCACATACAAAAAATTATATAACTCTCCAAATTTCATCGGTGTCACATAAATTGAAACAAAGAACTACTCCCAATTTATGTTATTTACTTTCCTTTTTAGTCAGTCCCAAAAGAATGTCACATTTCTATATTAAGTAACAATTTGATTATAAAATATTTATTTTACCCTTAATGAAATAATTTACAGTCATACAAATTTATATCATTCATTTTGGACCACAAATTTTAAAAGTCTTCATTTCTTTTTTAAACTCCGTGGTGAATCAAACTACCTCACATAAAATGAGACGGAGGAAGTAATATACATTGGGCCCGCGCTGGCGCGGGAACCTAATAACTAGTATAGGAAGAGAGATGAAGGAGGAAAACATTTTTGGAGGAAAAAAGATATATATATATATATATATATATAGGGAGAGAAATGATATACAATGACCTTTTTTTTTTAGGAAAAATTATCTAAGTACATATCTTATTTCATCATAATCTCTAAAATTTCCTACTCCCATTTTAAAAAATTACAAAAATCCTCTCTCGGATGCATTCATATCCCCTCTCAGATACATCTCTCCTCTCTCGGATACATCATCTCCTTTCGGATACATCCATGAGCTATGTATCCATAGGTTTACTGATGTATCCGAGATCCTATAATTTTAAGAAATTTTTGTAATTTAGAAAAGAATATGAATATTATGTAATTAGCTCTTAACACTACGAGATTTATGTAATATTTACTTTTTTCTATTTTGTACAATTTATTGGTTGAAATTGTCATGAAGTGCCAACTTTATCTTTTTTTTAGGAACTTTCGCAAATAGCCACTATAAAAACCTAATTATGCTCCATAGCTATAGTTTGCATATTTACCGGCTATAGCCACAGTTTAAGCTGTCTCGTTTGTATAATTCGCGGATTTGTATAATTCGCAGGTTTGTATAATTTGCGGGTACATTTGTATACTTCAGTTATTTTTGTATAACTCGAAATAACGAATTTATACAATTACAAACATCAGAAGTGTAAACAGTTATATAAATTATATTATACAAATTCTGAATTATATAAAAGTTATACAAATTATATTATACAAATTCTGAATTATACAAATGTGCGAATTATACAAAACCAAAAAGCTGAG